AAGATACCTTAAAACTGGAAATAGTGAAATGCAAATGAGCTTGATTCAAGGTGCTGCAATGATCAGGTTAGCTTCCTCAAGTTCCCAGGAAGCTAATGCAATGATTAGCTTGAGCAATGGATGGCTGGAATGGCCTGGAGAAGTCCAATTGCAGACTCTGTTTTTTTTGGTTATGGAGGTTGATGAAAATGGTGTTACAATTCTGGAACAAGGACAGGGATGGACTATATTTGGGGTATAGAAGCTTTGTGAATGATTAGGAATGAAAACACACGAGGGAAATGTGAGGTGCAAGTTCAAAGTCAAAAACTGTACATCAATGGCGTTTTTAGACAATTTCTGGCTTGCAAGTGTTTGAGAGAGTTTCATGGTGCTTAAGTTCGTGTCTTAGCTCACAAATAATGCCTCTATTTATAAGCAACGAGTTTTGAGACTTGTAGTTGCTCAGAATTCAAAATCAAATGTTTAAGCTCAATATGTGATTTTCTTGAAAAATCAAGTTTCAATGCTTTGTACTTGCTATTGTAGAGTGGTTACACTTTAAACAAGATTGCTTCTGACTTTGTAGATGGAGTTTGATCAGAGGGAACAAGTGAGAGACTCAAGAATTGACTTTGTGCATAAAGCTTGCTTTTCAAGAATGGCAGTGTTAGCTTTCTTCCCAAAATGGCAAATGGACTTGGACAATGCTTAAACCACTTGGATTATAGCTCAAAAGTTTGTGTAATCCATTAATTATGGATAGATACACAAGTTAGAAGACCTGCAAAGCAAGATTATGCAGCCTAACATTGAGATTGGATTATGTGTCCATCAAGAAATGGCTTGTAATTCAAGTTTGAAACCCCAATTTCTTGCTTTCGATTCTCCTAGCTCAAGTATGATCTCAATGAGTTCTTGGACATTTTGGAAAGCTTGTAACATCCTATACAACCTTCATGTTGGATATTTTTGAATATTCATCTTGGAAGTATGTGAAATTTTTTCATGAAGTTAGGTCAAAATCCTGCCTAAACTAGGGCAGAATTTCACTAAGTCTTCAAGTTTCATGAGCATGTCTTTACAAAATCATAAATTGAAATCCAAGCATTTATAGAAAAAGTTTTGCCCTACAGTTTTTTAGATATCATTGAGATCTACAACTTTCATGTTGGAGTTTCCTTTGAATCATCTTGCATCATGGTGTAAATTTGGCACAAAGTTATGAAAAAAACATGAATTTTCAACACTTAGAAAAATTCTAAGTCTTGGAAATTTTGACTTTTCAAAATGAAATCTTGACTTTTTGATTTCTTGATGAACAAGTTTCATATTTTTACATGTCTTGATGAATTTTAATCTTTGAAACTTGATTTTGATCAATAAGTCAAAGTTTGACTTTTCAGTGTACAATTGACTTTGAAACTTGCTCCGCCCAATGCTAACCCTGCTATGGCTGCCCTGCTCGCAGCTCACAACCAGAACAACTCCCTAATCTGCCGACAAAGCGAGATGATTGGGGCATTGGAAATTTATCGCCGCTCAAAGTCTCCCCCTCGGAGGCACCAACAACAAAGATCACACAGTCTGTCTCCTCGATGATATGATCATCGTCGGGGTAAGAAAGAGCTCATATCATGTCCATAAAGAAACGCGATCAAACCCCTTCTTGGAGAGACCAGCTCTCCCGGTAGCTAAGAAACCAGAGGGCAGATTGAGAAACCCATCTCCTTGACGAGATAATTGTCCCAAATGAGGGAAGCACAACTTTTCTCCACCACTATCACCGAGCTGGAGCGACGAGGAAGACCCCCGTGGTCCATTGTCTCAGGCTATCATGGATGATCCCCTCCCCGTCGAACTAGAGAAACCCCCAAACTTGGGAACATATGATGGGATAACCGACCCTGACGAGCACGTCGAAAACATTGACGCCCTGCTTGACTACCGAGGCGTTAGGGGCGTCATTAAGTGCATGTTATTCCAACAACTCTGAGAAAAGGAGCAATATCTTGGTACAAAAGCCTCCCCAATGAATCCATCACCTCGTTGAAGCAGTTGGTGATGATGTTCTCAAGGAACTTCACTGCCTCTCGCCGTCATCTGAAGACAGAGACCTCGCTAGAAGCAATCATACAAGGAAAAGAAGAATCTCTTCGAGCAATATCGACTATATTGGAGTATTTCAAGTAAATGATCCATGTTGCCTCAAACCTAAAAGGACGTGACCCGTGGTCTTGGATTGGAATGCCACACCTAAGGAAAATGAGGTTGTGATCAAAATGAGATTTACACAACACCTCAACATATGCATAAGGGAAATCCATACGCCAAGCAATGTCGACATAGTCCATATCCAACTTGCGACGGACCTTCATACTGCACGTTGTACCATCATTGACCTTTCAAACAACTGGTAAGGTCAAATCAATCTCCACACAAATTCTCGCAAACCTTCCCCTCTCTACATTTAGGGTGTTAGTATCTACCTTAACAAGAGTACCCACAAAAAATGTTAAACCAAGAAGGATACATTCCTCGTAATATAATAAGTTAAGCCCTTAAAATCGAATCCAAACCAGAGATTTCTCCACCTTTACGAGAGGAGATGAAAAGTATGGAGTCCATCGAGCCACTGCCAAATAATGGTCAAACAACTCCCATGAGCTTTCTGACACAATTTTCTCCATATTTGCGAGCAGTTCGCACTTGACCATAAAGAAATCATTGTCAACATCCATGATCTCAAAACCTCTAGTGAATTTTCACATCTTCTTCAACTTATCCTTCATCAAATGATAGCCCACAATCTTCCCAAAGAGTTTGATGACTAGCGCCTCCTCTCAATCAGGTTCACTCTCTCCTTCATAGGAGTTATAGTAGTAACTCCTCAGCCTTTAATGAGAATATCCCAGAACGACGGTCTAAGAGACTTAATGCAGTTTCATCTGATAGCTAGACCGGTGACGGCAGCGTGAGAGCGACGAAACCAAAGAACTTCATATGAAAACTTTTCCAATATTCAAAAGTTGTTGCTTTTAATTTTTTTTAAATATTTTTTATATATCTTTTCTAAAAATAAATTTTATAAAAAATAATTTAAATAGTAAAAATTATTTAACTTTCTTTAATAAATTAAAAGAATAATTTTAAGATTCAATAATATAAACACATATGTATTATTAAAATTTTGTAACATAGTCAAAATTGTATAATGTTTTAAAAAGATATATTTATAGAATAATTTTTATGAAAAATTATTTAAATAGTTTTAAAGTTAATGATTTTGTAAAATTTTGATATTTAAAAAAGTTATAATAGAATAATAAAATATCTAAAACAATATCCTATTAAAAACTATTTAAACTTTTTATTGAAACATTTTTTAAAAATTCTTAATAATTTTTTTATTAAAATATATAATATTATAAGAATTATTTTTACAGGCAATCTGAAACAACGGGACCACTATCAATGGTTTTATATTTTTTTGGCAAATGGAGTATATTTTTGTCTTAAGAAAATAAAAATTTGATTCGATCTTTTAAAAATATAAATAATTTTAACATTTAAAATAATTAAAACAACATTCATTCTTTCTTGAACAACCATAAAAATATATAATTAAATATCTAATAATAATTAAAAAGCAATTCAAAATAATAATAATTAAAAAGAGATATTTGGTTTTGAAAATAACATTCCGTCAAAAATATGAAAAATTAAATAATTTATTCTTCAATCAATCAATAGTTTTAATTCTTTTTTCTTTTTTATTTAAAATATCAATTTTCAATTTGTCCTTAAATGAAAGATTGATTGAAAATAATCTTCTAGAAACTATTTTTATTGTTTTAGTTAGTTCATTTTTTATATAAAATAATAAAATTTCTAAAATAGTAATCTAGTAAAAACTAAAATTTAATTGGTATGCACAAGTGTAAAGCAGTTTTATACTATTAACGAATCGTAACTATTAAATATTTGTTGAAATTTAAATTTTACTTTAATTATTTATAAAATAACTTTATGAGTTGTTGTAATGTATCAATTGTATAAAAAAATTTATATAATAATTAATCTCTAAAAACTATTTAAACTTTTTTTTGAAACATTTTTAAAAAATTCTTAATAATTTTTTAATTAAAATATATAATATTATAAAAATTATTTTTACAGGCAATCTGAAACAACAGGTACACTGTCAATTGTATATTATTATTTTTTGGCAAATGGAGTATCATTTTTGTCTTAAGAAAATAAAAATTTGATTTGATCTTTTAAAAATATAAATAAATTTAACATTTAAAATAATTAAAACCACATTCATTCTTTCTTGAACAACCATACAAATATATGATTAAATATCTAATAATAATTAAAAAGCAATTCAAAATAATAATGCTTAAAAGAGAGATATTTGATTTTGAAAATAATATAAAAAATTCTGTCAAGAACATGAAAAATTAAATAGTTTATTCTTCAATAAATCACTAATTTTAATTCTTTTTTATTTTTTATTTAACATATCAATTTTCAATTTGTCCTAAAATGAAAGATTGATGGAAAATAATCCTCTAGAAACTATTTTTATTGTTTTAGTTAATTCATTTCTTTTTAATAATTTTCAATAATCAAATTATATCTTTTAAATTATTGTGAAGACCTAATTGACATAATAAAACGAAACGAAATATATGCACAAAACTTTTGAGTTGATTGATTTTTTATCATTAATTTTATATTGTTTATTTTTTTAATAAGGTATAATTGTTGGTATACTATTATGAAAATTTAATTAATTTGGTTCGATTTAAATGGTAAGTTTCACAAATATTTTGATTCGGTTTATTCATCCCGAAAGATATCAATTGACAAAATCAAATTTCATTTATGACCAAATTAATTATACAAGGAAAAAAATATTTTTGCTTACTGTTATTTCCTAATACAAAATATATTCTCAATTTAAAAATCTTTTATTTCAAATGTTGTCAAAATAAAAAGAAAAAAAGTTCCTTATGCTGAAAAAAAAGAGTCACATCGATTCAATAAGCTCAAGTTTTCGTCTTGTTTATGAAAACATGATTTGGGTTTTGGCTTGTATATGGATTTTCCTATGCAGCTATGTGCTTCATTCCATTGGATCCATGCTCTCATACATATTCAGGTTTGATAAATTTCATTATTTCATGTATTTTTATTCGTTTAATGCATTGAAAAGTGGATAATGGTTTTTCCTTTGTTTTTGTTTTTTAAATTTTAAAGAAAAAAGGAAGTTGTTGCACTAACTTCAATGGAAGATTATGATATTGATGAGTTCACAAAAGAGCTAGTTGATTTTTTATTTCCAAGCTATGAAGAGTTTCTTATATCATATAAAGAAAAAGAACAAGAAGAAACAAAGTATTGTGTTTTAGTGGAAAATAATTGTGATCTTCGACATGAGGATGAAAAGGGAATAGAAGAAATAGATTGTTATAATTTTATTGAAGATGGTAATTTTATGCACAATGTTTTTGATGGTTTTCATGATGTTATGAAAGTGGATGAAAATGAAACATTTATGCATAGTCTCTTTGATGGTTTTCATGAAGATGTTATAGAAATCAATGATAATGAAAGAGAGAAGAACTCTTTTTTTGAAGAATGTGATTCCAATTTTCATCAAGATGGTAGAAAGAGTGTGGAAAAAGTTCAAGAAGTCGAAGAAGTAGAAGAAGAAGAAACAAATGGTTCTAATTTTAGTGATACTAGCTATGCTCCTACAACAAGTAAGTGTCAATTTGTGTTACAAAAAGATATTAATAGTTTGGAAAAACAGCCTATGAATTTAAGTCTCTCTTTTTTAAGAAATGCTTCTTATGATAATGTATTTTTTAACACTAAAGATATACATAATTTAGATGAAGATGAGTGTGTTCAAGAATATAGAAAATTCACCTCAAGCTCCACTTTTGATAGAAGTAACAACACCAATGATTGTTCTTTGACTTCTAACATTCCTTGTGAAGATATTGAGTGTGAAAGTGTTAAGAAATTTGAAGATTTGAAGGAAATTCAATTTTCATGGGACAGAGAAGAAGTCTCTCAAGGTTTCCTTGATTGCAAAAATGAAAATGAAGGTTCTTTATACCATGAAGAAGAAACTTATGAAGATAGTTTGGAGAAAAATGAAGAAGACGATGATGACGAATGCGATTGGGACGATAATGAGGTAATGCAACAAATTAAATTGAAATTGAAGTATGCAAGACAAGGAGGACTTTCCACAATTTTTGAAGAGGAAGAAGAACTAGAAGATGAAGAAGAAAAAGAACCATCTTTAAAAGTTATTGAAATGATAAATACATCGAGTATGGAATACAAAGATCAAGAGAAGATGATATATGAATATCACAATGTTGAAATTCAAAAGGTTTATAGATGTTATGCACAGAAAATAAGGAGACTTGATGTCTTGAATTTTCAAGTCATGCATGCAATTGGTGAGTGAGTAATAAATTATTTTACCTATTTTTCTATGCTCTATTGAATCCATTATTTGGAGATTAAAAAAATATAGTTTTGATTAATCATATGAAGTAATGTTCTAGTTTTGACTATTGATGTAGATTGTCTTCAACTAAAAGACCCTCTATTGGTGCAAAAATCAACCATCCAACACACTAAACCTCTAGTAATTCCTCAGACTTTGGGATCAATCAAAGCACAAAAGAATATATTTGAGCCAGTGTTGAAGCTTGTAAAGGAATTGCATTGGGATTTGGAACTTCTTTATGTTGGAAAAATTTGTCTCTCTTGGGAAATGCTATGTTGGCAATATGTGAAAATCAAACAATGTGATTCACAATTTTCTCTTAGGTGTGATTTAGTTGCTGATGAACTTCAACTTTTTCAAGTTCTCATGCAACAATTTTTAGAGGACGATCCATTTCAAAATGGTATATGCTTTTCTTTGATTCTTAGGTTCAAACTTGTCGCATATAAGTAATATATATATGTTGACACTAAGTGATTTATAAGATAACAATATTGTTATGATTTTTTTATAGATAGTGCAAAGGACAAGAAAAAAATCAAGTGGGGTGAAGATGATGTCATTGCGAGTGAAAACTTAGAGGAAATAATTAAGGAATCCATGCAAATATTTTGGGAGTTTGTCGAAGCATATAAAGATGATGGAAATGTGTTTCAGAAAATACCACGTTACAGAATGAATGAGATTAAGGACAAAGAAATTTCAGAACTTCTTGAGGATATTCAAACTCAATTGCATAAGGTTGATTTTTTTTTTTAATTTTCTTTTGATTTAATTATATAATATGCAAAATAATAGTGTTTTAAATGTTTTGTAGAAGGAGAGAAAGGTGAAGGAGAAATTAAGAAGTGGGAATTGGATAGTAAGAAAGTTCCAAAAACAAAACGAGGGTCAAATTCAACTAGATTACGAGCAGCTGTTGGCTCAAGTGGGATTGAGGTTGATTTCAAAGGTAATTAGCATGAAAAAGTTGAGAAAAGATCACCTAATATGGTGTAGTGCAAAGTTAAATCAAATCAATTTTGTTGACAAGAAGATTCAAGTGGAGCCTTCCGTTTTGCTTTTTCCTTGTTAATTCATTCATTTTGCTTCTTTATAATTAGATATTCATGTTTATGCAGAAAATTGTATTCATTTTAAATTATCTTAATGTGTGTTTATGTATATTAATCTAAACACCCGTACAAAAATTACAATCATTCTGCTTCTTTTGATTATATAAGCGATCTAAATTATATATTCAACTACACAAATGCTCCAAATGTATAACACAATTAAAGACATTTATAAAGTTTTCTTAAAAAAGGACATAGCTAAGTTAGATAGAAAGATCTTAAGCACTTAAAATATCTTGTATGAAAGAAAGATATAGGTCTTGAGATATAGAGACTATAAATGAAAGAACAAAAATAATATAACCTGCTTTGAAAGAATATTTGTTGTTTCTATTTCAGTGTTGTATGTTACAAAGTAAGTCTCTTGCACTCAAGATCCTAGCCAATTTTTAATTCATATACCATGAGCTAAGACCGACAATTCACATACAAATACGTAAATATGTATATCTATATAGTTTGTGTTTAATTAAACCACACAACAATACTAATTGTACTAAAAATAGAGGGATTTTAATTGAAAACGCTTAGCAATTTAAAGTAAATAAATACAAAAATAAATTTATACAAAAATTCCCACAACTAAAGGATTTTAGGATTCTTTGAATTTCCTATTTGTAATTATCTGATAAATTTATATACTATTTTGTTGGCTCAATTTTCTTGAGTCAGATTAACAAATCATAAATGCCCGTGTCCCTTTTTTCTAAGGTCATTCAATTGAGATTAACTCAATTATCTTTTTGTCCAGAGGTACTATTTGTGACCATTAATAAGTCTTCAAGATTTGTTTGTATTGTACAAATACTCTTGACGCCGAATGAGACATATACGTGTGTAATGTATAGTCTCATTTATCTAATAGTGAATCAAAATTTCTTAAGTGAGACAATTATTGTCAAAAGCATGAACACATGAAAAAAAATTATCACACTTAGTCAATTTAATTTTTTAAAACAATAATCCGGTGAACAATTGTTGTGGGTTCAATGATAAAATTAATGGTTAACAATGGTTTATCTCTTAAAATCAGTTCAATGATGGTTAGGTATAGAAAAGTATCAAATCTAGAATAACTGAATGATAAAAAATCTTTTCAATAATATTAAGTTTTTTTTTGCAATTTTCAATTTTCTATCCACACCCCAGTCTTAGAAGTATAAGTCATTTTGGGGTCCCTATAGTTCCTAAACCGGGTCAGGCCCGTTTTAATTATCGTAATCCGCATCTTCGGATTTTCTAGGGTTTTGGGTACTTGTTCACCGCATCATCTACATTCTTGTCCGTTTTGTGAGGAAAATCAAGGTCAGAGAAGATGGTTCAGAGGCTTACCTACCGCCGGCGCCATAGCTACGCCACGAAGTCGAACCAACATCGGGTTGTCAAAACCCCCGGTAACTTTTGTTCCTCGTGGAGTAAAGCATTGGGTTTTTTTGTTTATTAATCCGTCTTGTTTAATGCAGGTGGTAAACTTGTTTATCAGACTACTAAGAAGAGAGCTAGTGGACCAAAATGCCCTGTTACTGGAAAGAGGATTCAAGGGGTATGTATGTCTTTTTAATTTCTCATCTGGAAATCTGATTGATTATAGAGTAACTGAATTGTTTGTTTAATCTAGTTTTGCACCTGTGTTATAAATGCAGATTCCACATTTGAGGCCCACGGAGTACAGAAGATCAAGGTTATCTAGAAACAGGAGGACTGTTAACCGTGCTTATGGTGGAGTTTTATCTGGAGGTGCTGTTAGAGAAAGGTATTATGTTGTTTATTATATATGTTGAAAAATAATCATTGACATTGCTTGATATTTTGTCTCTGGTGCTGTAGAATTATTCGAGCATTCTTGGTTGAGGAGCAAAAGATTGTCAAAAAGGTCTTGAAGATCCAGAAGACCAAGGAAAAACAAGCTTCAAAGGCTTAAGTTTCATGAAACTGAGATAAACATCTTTTTGGAGGAATTTTAGGTTTCAGCGATTATAGTACAAGCACAAAATTTATTAGACGTTTGTTAATTTTGTGCTCATTTGTGTTCTTTAAACTTGTTCTACTGGGACTGTTAGCTTTGTCAACTAATCCGCTATGATTCAGTTTTGTTTGTCTCAATTTTCTTATATTATGTTTTTCTCAGAATATATGTTTTGCATTTATAATGTTATTCAAGTTAAGTTAACTTGTTTTCTGATTGCAATTTTAATGCTGAAAGTACCTCTTGGTTTCTTTTATACCAATAATATTTTGGAAGCAGAAGCAGAATGTTATAATCATTTGAGATGCATGAGTTTGACGAAATTACGATACCTTTGTGATTTTGTTGTATAGTGTTACTATCACACACCTTCATTCTACCAAACTCAGATTGAATCTAAAGTAACTTTAAGTATGCTTAATTTGTTTCATTTTCTATATGTTTGATTCCTATTGCTGTTACACTTTGGATTCTATGTGTACTTTATAATATTGTAGCGATGAAATATCCACACGGTTAATAAACCACAGATAATATAGTCTTGTACTGTGCACCACTTATTATTGTAAATTAGATGGATGGTTACTATATTAGATTATGTCTGGTCATCACGTCTTCGAGCTGAGCGTGCGTTTGGTTCACCTCAGCATGGTTTTCTAAGGCTTTTTTAGGGTTCCGTAGCAGAATGTGCCAATGGAGAGATCCTTTTGTTTAGGAGAGAAGGATTTGAAAGTCTATGTTTATGAAACTAAATGAGGTAATATTTCCCATTAAGAAGATAGCTAGTTGTGGTAGCATGACTCCTTTAGAACCCTGCTAACTTTGTGTGTGTTTGCTGAGTCTGCCCAAGTTGGTTGCAGACATACAACGGAGGCCATTATACTTTTGACTAGTGTTTGGAAGAGTCGCCCCCAAGGTTTTGGCCTTATTTTGTCCGCTACTTTATTATAGGATTTAAATATTACAAAGCCTTTGTAAGGGAAGGGTACTAACACCTTCTGCTTGTTATGTGCTATACAATTGAAGAAGTATGAAGCCTGCTTGTTATGTGCTATACAATTGAAGGAGTATGAAGCCTCGACATGGCTATATCAGAGGGCGTGCGTACCGGATGCGTATCCAACATGGATACGTGTACGATATGCATACGAACCAACCGTTTTGGATGCATTTTTGAAGTGTGCAACGAAAATTTTTTGAAACGCAATGGTCACGAATACGACATATTATTTCAAATAACAGACACATTCCGACTCAAATTCTCAAAATGTCTTAAAAAATAATTTTTACTTTTCATATTCCATTTCTCCAACATTAAAAGAAGCGATATTCTATATTCTACCTTTCATATTACCTTCAGTATTTTTATTTTTTCATCTTTTCTATTACCTTCAGTATTTTTATTTTTTCATCTTTTCTATTTGTTTTCATCTTCGTTGCACGTCGTTGCTTTTCATCTTATTTGTTTTTCATCTTCTTTGTTTCTTTCATCTTTGCTGCACGCCACTGTTTTTGTCTCACAAGGTTTTTTTTCATTTTTTTTGTTTGCCGTACGCCTCTACTTTTGTCTCCACAAGATTTTTCCATCTTCTATTGTAATTTGTAACTTTGTTTTTCCATCGAGTATTTTTACACTTACTGATGTGCATTTCTTTTTTTTTTTTCTTTTAAATTTGGTTTGACTTTGACATTCGGTTGTGTGACTCATGAAAAATTAGAAGGGTAGCTCAATTAGTTTGAGCTAATTGAACTTAGGGTTAAAGGAACTTAGTGTTAGAGAAATTTGAGTTCAGGGTTCAACCCCTGGCAAAGATGCCTATGCATGGCTCAATAGTAGTTCCAGATGATTAATTTGTGCTTGGTTTGATCAAGGAGGAGTCTATTGTTCTCCTTTGGCGGGCTTGACTTCTAGCTTTCTCTGCTCGCGTAGACTTTTTATAGTAGTGGTGGTTTTGGCAGGTTGTGGGAGAGTTATTGGCATGTCTTCTGCCGTTGATCTTGTTTTGCTTGACATGTGTTTTTACCTTATTTTTCTCTCACATTCTTTTCTTATCACAATTCAACATACTCCTAACGTTACATGTAACTTTTTTTAGTGTTTTTTCCCCCTAAAATGATTGATTTATAAACATTAATAATTTATTTATATTTATACATTAATATAAATAAATGTTCATATTAGAAATTTGAATTCTAAATTAACAGTTTACATTCATTGAATTATCTCATTCACCTCAGTTTAGTGATATTTTACCATAAAAAAATTACACAAAATTTTAAATCTTAACACAAAAGATACTAGAAGCACATGAATAATACAAAGATCTAAATTGAAAAAAATGTTAGACTTACTACTCTAGTTCTAGCTCCAACCAAAAGTTACTCCCTAAGTAAACAACTCAATTGGTAAACTAAACTAAAGAACATTGAAGAAACCCTAAAAAGCAACATAACACCTGATTTACTAACAACTAATCTAGCTGAAACAGCTATAACCATTAGTTAAATAAAGTTCACACTAAGTGTAACACTTGGTAGTAGAATAGCTAGAGGGTTCATCAGAAGTACAAGAAGCGGCATCCCAAACAAGACTTGACTTCCATGCTTCACCAATATTAAAAGGCACACTAAATGGGAATCCAATGGATCTCACTCTCTCCAACTCTTGCACATTCACATTCGGAATACTATTAGCCATCAATGGATATCCATTATTGTAATGGTCAACGTAGTTTGAGGTTGTTCCTTCACATGACATGCCCAATAGCAAGGAAGAAACATCCATTGAAGTTTTGTTACAAGATGTTTCAAGAGGAGAAGAGAATACTAAGCCGGTGCTAAGGTTAAGGTCTTGATCATTCGAAATCGGTAAACGGTATAAGGGTTTGTAAATCAGTGGATCAATGATTGGATTATTATTATTATTATGATACGATGGAACATCTAAAGGACATAGTGCTGTGCCACTAGAAGAGGTTAAGTTTTGTGTTGAGTTATTGTGGTTATTAGTAGTACAAAATTGGCTTGCAAAGTTAGGTTTCTTTGTCAACATCATGTTTGGTGAACAAAATTGGTTGTGGTTTGCATCATTTGCTAGAACGTTGGAGGTTGATGTTTCAAGTAAAGGAGGGACCCATGAGTGAGAGAGTGCTCTTTGAGCTGTTGCGTTGGTTTTCTTGAATATCCTGCAAATTGCCCAAGATTCCTACAAGTTCAAAAACATTTAATATTAATTAGTAAGTCAAAGACTTTATAATGAAGTTATATATAAGCTACTCTCAATGTGTCATAATTATGAAGTTATGTTTAATCACAGTTTATATATAATATTCATATATCTAAATCCAACGAGACGTCTTTTCTAAAGGGAAAATTGTCACGAGGATTCTCACACTCAAAACGGACAATACTTCGTAGACGCAATGACACAAACTTGAGGTCTATCAGAACAATGGCGCCGTCTGTGAGAATTCAAAGTTTGTACGGTGCCCCTTAGCCTCGACTGGGATAACCGTTCCGTGCTAACCAAAATAGTCTCATATTACTCAGAAACCGAAAATAAGGATAATTTATATACAACACTCATACATCTCAAATCAACAAAGCGCCTTTTCTAAAAGACAAACGGTAAGAGTTGTCACATACAAAACGGATAATCCCTCGTAGTAGCAGTAACTCGGACTTGAGTTTGATACGAACAATAATGAAGTTACATATTTAGTATAATGAGTCATAATTATATATATCTATTAGTAAGAGTTAAACACATAATTAATATCCATTCTAACATGATTTTATGATATACCAACAAGTTCTAAGTAAAATAATATATATATATATATATATATATATAGATTTGGCAAGTTATACTTACACTAGCAGGAATGGTTTTGTCTACATATTTTCTTGGAGATGATGATGATGAGTCAATAAGAGAAGGTAGTCTAAACTCATGCATCATCCAATCAGTTTTGGCTCCTTTAGCAGCTCTACCTTTGTAGAAAACTAATGACTTCTTCAAACCAATACACTTAGAACCCTCTGAGGAATAAATAGGTCTGTCTGTTCCAGTAGCTTTCCAAAACCCACCTCTTGTTACCCTATTAGGTCTTGCACTGTTCCTGTACTTCCTGTCTCTTGGACAGTAAAAATACCACTCTTTCTCTCCAGTACTTGCCAACTCTACACACATAATATAACAAAAAGCATATAATTAACTTGTTAAGTAGATTTCAAAAACCCTTAAACAAAACATGATGCTCAACATATGTAACTAACACAACAAGCTAGGATTCAAGATTCATGACCATCTTTGAGAGCATGCAAGACAGACTACTACACATAGCCTATAAGTTTTCACAGTTAAACCATAGCTAAAAAAGGCGGTTAAACCATAACAAAATAAAGTCTTATTTATTTTTTCCAAAGTTTAACCATGGTAATCTTACTCAGATCCTCCGAAAACTTAACACGGCACTGCTAGGGTTAATAATATATATAGTTAATATTTGAAGCAAACAAAACACTGTTAGGAGTCTTACTTGGAAGATCCCAAGGATCAAATTTATAAATATCAAGCTGTTTGATGAGCTCAATAGCAAGAGGGCGTTGTTGAATCTTTCTCTTGAGATAAAATCCAACTAGTTCTTCATCAGTTGGATGAAACCTAAACCCTGGAAGCATAACCTCATCAAGTTTCTCACAACCATTTCTCTCTTCCATTTCTTGATTGCTTCTAGTGTCAAAGAGATAAAGGTGTAAAGGTTTGAATGAAAAACCCTAGAAGAAGTGCAATATGTTTGAGTTGTTTTTGTTGATGAGAAGAAATATGAAAGAGAAAGTTGGTGAGAGTGAAGTTCAGTCAATGTGTGAAGTGATTATATGCTACCTTAGAAGGGATCTAAATCCGAAGGTTTAGCCGTCTTTGAAGGATTGTGTGGTTTGCGAGGATCACGTAGTTTGGTTTTGCTCATATACAAGAAAATTAAGGACAAGGCTCTTAAAAAGAGAACATATACCAAAATCTCTTAAAAAAAAAGTTGTGTGCATGGTGGTCCTCTTCGACCGAAGTATAATGAAATTTTTAGCTTAAATCCACTACAATCCAAGACAAAACAAAGTTCCAAGAAAATAATACTATATTTATAAGCATTGTGTTTGAAACCTGAACCGAATTCCAAAATGTAGTTCAAATACATAATTTCAACAACAACTTTCTAGTTAAGCAATTATATTAAATTAATTGATTCTGTTCTCAGAATCCGAAAATCCCGTTTCTATTCCATTCCTCAAAGCTTCTATTCCACTGGTTTGTCAGAGTGAAAGAGTTTAATAATAAGGGTCACGTTAATGTCAATGTTTAGATAACAACAAAATGGACGTGTGATTAAAGTCTAATATGGTTAAGGGAACCGCCATTACTTTCAGAATCGATTATTTTGTGATTAAGTAAGAAAAAGCAATTGTTTATTGTTAGTTGAATATATAATGTGGCTTCAAATTAATGCAACATCATACATTTATATGGGTGTTGACTACAAAACTATGCCACTTGTTAGCTACAATGATATGATATATATTATGCATGTTAATATGTTATACACTAGTTTTATTATATTTTTTAAATAGTATTTTATTGAATTTAAAGTTAGTTGATAATTGAGTGTGATTTTGGCTTTTACCTTATATTTTTGAGTTTTTTTAACTCTTTCAAAAAGTGTTAAGTATAAATGTTAGATATTTTAAAAGCTATTAAGACAATAAAAAGATATATAAATTTTAAAGTCAAAAGAAAAAACTAAATTATAAGAAAATAATAATCAAGTTTGATTAATTGTGTAACTATGTGATATTTTAAATGAGTATTTAAATTTAGCTCGTATTTTATTGGCGGTTACCTTATGATTTATAAAATTTAATTTTAAGACTTTGTTTGAAAGTTTAGAGTAGAAGAGAGGAGAAGACTTTGAAAAACAGAAAGGATTTGGTGAAAATAATAGAAAGATTTTGGTCAAGAGGGTTTCGAAGGGTAGTTTTTCTTCATAACACCAAAAACCTTTTAATTTGTAGGAACTCCTAAATCTTACAACTGAATAATCCATTTACACATGAAATCAACTCAACCAAAGATCAATCCAAAGCAAAAGAGATACAACTGGATAGAGAAACAGGCTGAGGGAGTGTAGAGAGAGCATCAACCAAACTGAAGAGACAGTCGGCCAAACATTAAACCTATATAAGCATAAGCAAATGAGCATGTCTTGCTCTGTTCTAGAAAAGAGAGGTCACAATCTAACAAACGAGTTTGAATCCACTTCAAAGAAAGGTAAATGATTTGAGTTAAATAGTGATTAATACACAAGTTTTTTCTATAAAAATAATTGTGTTACACATACTTCAAATAGTCCATACCACATCATGTGACAAATTGAAACTAAGTCAAAAATTCGGTCTCTTACCCCCACCTAACTCCCGGAATATATCAAACACTTTCAAAACCGATCGAGGAATAAACATTGACCTGCCCATCCATATAAAGACTTTATACCTAATAGAGAAAGTTACATCATAATGAGCAAATAAGTGCATCAATGATTCAGCCTGACTTAAAAATGCGACACAATCTTCCTAATGTCCCCATAATAATACATTCCCTCCTAAATTTAAGCCTAGTTAGTAACTTGCAATAATAACCAATAAAATCATCTATTTTTTATATGGTTTGTGTTTCGTTCTGGAACTAAAATGAGAAGGTGAATGGCAATAATAGCGGATCACGATTTCTGAAGTGGTGGAGTAGGGGGACCTGCAAGGTTAGTACTCCAATACTTAAGTTAGTATATGAAGAAGAAGAGTAAAATAAAATTGTATTTGAACTTTGTTACTTGATTTTGACTCTCTCTCTCTCTCTCTCTCTATATATATATATATATATATATATATATATATATATATATATATATATATATATATATATATATATATATATATATATATATATATATATATATATATATATATATATATATATGGAATAACTAACTTGCTATTAGTTAGGAGTGAATTGCAGATAATCGTTGGATGCTTGGTTGAGTTCTTAGATAATTACTAGAATGATAATCTTTGCGTATTAGGAAGATTTTGGAAGGAGTGAGATCCTTATGTGGCTGCTAGCTAGGATCAGTATGGTCGGCATAAATCTATTCGGGGTCGATCCGATCATCCCAGAACAGTTACCCTCCAAGTCCTTATCGTCGTGTAGGAGGGCGAGGGTTTGGCATTATAACTCCGGATGTCGACCAACCCTTAATTATTATTAAGACACATAGTGGAGATCATTTTAGTTCCTTTAAGAAACCATGCATTTAATGCATCATACTTCAGAATGTTTTTTCGTAGATAGCATCATTACAGTTTTTTGAAAACCAAAACTCTTTGAGTGTTTCATATGAATGATTAGACGTATTTAGAGAAACCTTTTGTTTTCCTAAATGTAGTTTTTCTTTTAGGGGAATAAGTATATTCTTTCTTTCCTGGGTCTTCTTTTATCAATTTAACAATTTAACTGTTTTGCTCCCATGCCTTTCATTTCTTACAATTGTAAAGTTAGTGCATTATGAATAAGAAATCATAGAAAAATATTCGCAAAACTCAAAAGTATATTCAACATTCTTGGATGGATCTTGTTTATTCTTCTAATGCTTTTTTCCCTCCAAACTAGGTAGTCTTGACGGTGCTTTTATAAAAGTTGGTACATTCTCTGACTGGGGAACTATGAGTCCTTCTGAGGACAAATTAATATGCAACAAATATGACGCTTGCAACATTCCCTTTTATGAGTGTGTTTTTTTCCACCCTGGGCCTCCGTCTCTGTCTCTCTCTCTCTCACTACTTTTTGAGATAGAGGTTCTAAAACATATGGCCATGGCTCTTTTGTAGCTTCATCCTTCATGTTGGGTATATATGAGATTCTAACAGTATTTGTATGAACAAAGACCCCGTGTGTTCCTCTTCCTTCCCATTTTTAAATGTCTTTATGACTCGGAATCCCAAACTAAGGGTAGAAGATTACTCTTCCCCAAGCCGATCATTCATGGTTTCGAACCTCTTTCAGAGCTCTTGCCCTTTGAGGATCGATTCTTTCTAATGACCCATATCATTCCTAAAGCTCATGTTATAATTTGTGACGTCAGTAATGGAGTGGAGGGCACATGTGCCGGCCTTTTCTCCAAGTATTTGACTGAGGGTCACCTTTTGTTGGGGAATAATTTTGTCGTATATGATGAAAAAGATTTCTCTAAAAAGGCTCAATATCAAAAAGGCCGGTTGGTGAAGTTTATTAATAATCTGGGATATATATAAGGGGAGCTACCCCGGTGGATGAGGATGATAAGAAACGTTTAAGCGTCTTATTGACATCCAATTACTTATAAAAGCCCGCTCTCAGGGGCAGAGGAAGACCATTTTTGTTAAGTTTGAACTTCATGAGTTTTATGGTATTTTAACCTGCATATGCCTCTTATGTATATGTTTACTAATTACTATGTAGAATGTAAGGATAAGTAAGAGTAGTTTAACTTCTATGGCGGGGATTATGGCTCGTTAGAAATAATTTTGACGCGGAGAACCTGACGAATTCATTGAATGCTCCTAGTCTGTCTGCTTTCCCTTTACTAAGGGGATCTGGCTCTCGCTCTACTGAATTTCGTAAACCCCCTTCTTTGGATAAGGATCGTGCTTACTTCGTTAAACTTGTCGGGAATGTTCTATAGGAAGGGCGAGCTAGCCAAGTATACCCAGCATGCTTCGGCTGCTCCGGCCCTTGGTGCGTCTAGTTATTGGGAGGCTTTTTGGTCTGTTTGGCACCATCTGAAAAGCAATGGATGGAAGATAGAACCCATGATCTGAAGCTTCATCGAAATATGTACCTGCATGAAGCAAAGGAAGCTTCTATCTCTCTCTAGAGTGAAGTATGTTTTTCTTTCCTTGAAGCTTGTTGGCTCTCTTTCCTACCAGGTGACTCAGCTCGTGAGGACGATGGAAATGAAAGACAAAGCTCTTTCTATTGTTCAAAGCAGTGTAGGGACTTATCACAAGGACACAGAGCTCTTGCATTCTTATAACTCTTTGTTAACTCAACAGTTGGTTGACTGTAGGAGTTCCACCCTTGAGGAAGTTTCATAGTCATTTGAAAATACTTTGGATCAAGTAGAGTATTTTCATCATCATTTGACACTTTACATAGAGCAAATTGATCAGATCAAGTTGTCATAGACGGGAAGATTGTTTCTGAGTGAAAGTAGGCTTGGAGGCTGTTATACCCCAATTTTCCCCTAAGATCTGCCCATCATCTCATAACATAAATACATCAAGATCACACATTAGGGTTGGTTCTCTCTTCTACTTCCTCCTATCTTTAAGTTTGCTCTTGAGGGATCATCAAGCACCTTGAATTGTATATCTTGTACATGTGTATTTTATGTTGATTAACCCTTAACTAACATCAAAATATGTATATATGTTTCTTTGGATGTTTATATTGTAGGTGATGACACAATTGCACCCGTCTCACCATCTAACTTAGGGTTTTGAGGGATAGTCCCTAATCAAATGGTTATTCAATGAAGTCCAAGAGTTTGAGCTTCAAGGCTATGTCAGTGATATTACAATTCTTTGGTTTAATGAACTGTAATACGGTGGAAGAACTGAATTTTGGTTTTGCA